TGGGAAGCTATGTCAATAAGTAAAAATAAACAGCTGGTCATCGTATTAATCGTAATTCCCCCTGAACCACTCTCAGCACTGCAAAGAATTCCAAACTCTGATTACTGATGTGGATAGGCTGGGAAGATCCGCAAATATGATTATACGCACGAATTTCTTTTGCCTAATTGAACCATGTGCTAAAACTACGAGGTCTGACTTCGATAATTAAAATTTATCGCTGAATTTATCAACTAAATAAACGTCCTTCCTCGACCAAGCTGAGCTAATTGGATTTGTGCAAAGACATCTAATTGTGCTGTGACATACTTTTGTTTCAGCCACGTAGTCGCACTGCTTGCATCGTTGAAGCCTCATTTTACTCGAATGTTTCGAAGACTTGCCCGAAAAATTTTCCGGAGGTACGGCCGAGTGGAATCCCTCTATGTGTCGCCGAAGGCGACCCTCGGTACGCGAAGTATAGTCACATTTCGGGCATTGGTAGTCGTAATGACTCCTCAGATGAATCTGAAATTCTTGTCTCTTGTTTCCTACAAAGCAAATTAAATGATAGATTATTTTCGATCAAACCTTGACACCTATCCGATGTAGTCCATTAACTATTGCATTCCTCTGAAGCGCATGTTACATAAATTTAACACAAAACGGCGAAATGGAGGCTCCACTGGAGGAACTGGGACTAGAAAGTTATAACCTGCACCAAACGTTTGAATGGCTTCTATTGTTTTAAAAGTAGCAGTCTAGCCATAAAATTAGTTAATAAAAAGTAACCAGATGCATTGGTGGAAGGGGTTCAAATGTTAATGTTACATACGGAACTACGAATTGTTTGATGACTTTCACCAGCATAAAAGGATGCGGTCAAATATCTAAATTCCCCCCTTTTCGAATAGATTAACATCTTCCATTAAAATGCCCGCGGTGGATTGCGTAAGCGACATGCTGGCCGGTCGGCCCGAAAGAGGGGGCCGAACCACCAAGTCATGACTCAGTCCGGCCAGATGCGCCACGCGTTTCAAGTAAACAACTGGAGTGATTTGAATTTGACCTGAAGACAATTCATTTTTGTCCAGAAACGAGCCACCTTTACCACTATCGCTGTAATTGTAAGCACATTTGCAACCGATGTATTAGCGTCGCCTACCAAAGAAAGTATAATAGACTTAAGCTAATTAGCGAGTACACTTCCCCTATGAATTAATGCGTCTTCGAACAGGAGAAACAGTTCAATGAAATGGTTCCTCTCACTTAATCTTCCTTTGGCCTCCGGTAGAACATGATTTTGCTCACTTTTTTTGATTTTATTTTGGTAAATGTAAGTAATCTTCATATATACATTTCCATTCCTTTGAAAATCGTAGTTCTGGGCATTCAAACATGCAGTGTTCTTTATACATTAAAGTGGAGACGAAACTAAATCCAAAATAACATCGTTCTCTTCCATAAGAAGTCATTTTTAATAGTTTAAACAGTACAAGCCTCCCTCCTGCGTTGCAATGTCTCAGTTGGTTTTACAGTAAATTAGTAAAATTAATAATCCTAAATTACGTTACATTAATACTGCCTTGGAATCGTCTTAATGCTTCAAGATAGGTCGGATACTTTGTTCCGCTCCTATCCAACGAATAAATGTCAATTATAAATAATGACATCAAGAAAAGAAAAGAGGGTAATGGTCCACTTAAAAAAAGAACCAGCACCATAGACCGGATTACGATTGAATAAATTATTTGGAAACGAGGATTTACCAAAATAAAAAAGTGGAAAGTGAGTGGTCTAGGCGGATGAGGAGAAGTAAGTGCGTCGGAAAGTGATAACAGATGAAGTTCCCATGCTCTCCTGCAGGCCCGAACATGTTTGTCAACTAAGGAATTGACGCCAACACACTCCCTACCCTCTCATTAGTATACTGTCTGGGGGTACTGATGTATAGGAGAGCGCGAACATTTGATTTTCTTTACAGGCCGGGCCGACAGGTGATAAATTTCAGTTCTCTCCACCATCTCCTCTGCATACACATCCGCACTACCGCAGGGGTACTTATTGTGACCATAAGCCGTTTTTTCGCCTGCAGGGTAGGGAACGGTTGGCAAAGGGTCTAGACGTCGGAGACACGGTCTCTTACACGCATGTCAACCGCCGATCACTCGCTTTGTACCTCATGGACCACCTGCGCTGGTGGCCCCCGCTCCTCGGCTTTCAACTTCAAAAAGGTATTTGGGGCCGCAGGACAAGCGTACCATTGTACCACTAATTTTCGTTCAACTCATTTATTATTGTCTCCTGTAGTGTATTCTGCTCACCGCAGTGGATATTTATTACCGAGGCTTCTCATGTAATCTTTGAAACGTTATGACTTCGGATCAATAAATTGGTTGAACATCTCTTTTGAGAATGGTGTTAAAAACTCATTAACGCTGACTGTGGCTCTTCAAGTTGAATGATTGTTTTTTTCAAGTTAAACAAAGG